GTGTTAAATAAACAGATAAAAAGAGAGATAGAAAGCAAAGATTTAACTGCCAAATTGCATCGGCCCAAAAGTCAAAAAGAGAAAGGAAAGACAGAAGTAAAACACTGAAACTGATGAAACCAAATATGTAGAAAACCATAAAAACAAAGTTTTATTTGTGAGAAATTTGGTAAAAATAACAAGAAAATTTTTATATCTGATTCTTCAAAAGCTAAATATTTGACACAAATTCACCAAACATCCATGAACCTAATGGTTCATCATAAACCAAGTTTGTGTGAGCCCAACAAATCACAAATCGATTAAAAAAAAAAAAACCAAGTTAAAAGCCGAGTACCTTGGCAAATAAGAAACTTCGCTTTTATGAGGGAGCGAAATGGAAGATTTTAGACACTGAATGCTCTTTCTTATCCAACATTATGGGGACATAGAAAGAGAATCACAATCCCTTTGCAATGATTTTCATAAATCATAAAGTCAACGATCTAGTGATGAACGTGGCGAAAAAAGATTTATGTAGTCAACCCTAAATATAGTGATAGTCTGTTATTGTATAAAGTCACGGATTATGAGGGAAATTGACATTAAAAAGAACCCTTAAAGTCATTGGATCAAGAAACTGTAGTAACTTTAAGCCTCGTTTCAATACAAAAAAATGGTAATCATTTTACAAGTTAAAACTTATTTTTGCGTTAGAATATTCATTCTCTTGAAATTCAATAAAACAAACAAAAACAAATTGATTTGTGAGCGCTCATTTCCATGAACATTCTCAAGCAACTTTCAATCAACCTGCTCAATCAAAAAAACCCAAGCTCTACAAACACATATACGCATTTGATATATGCATATAATCAGTGTCTTTGTTTGTGGATTTACCCGAAGAAAGAGTTCGAAATCAACTTCATCTTCCAAATTTTGATATGAATCCTGAAGAAATGAAGATCTTTCCTGCTCAGTAAGATTCTCTCCGATGTGTTTTATCCTCGACATTTTCGCCTGCAAGTCCGCAAGCTTCAAGCCGCCGCTATTCTCCCTCCTCATCGTCGTGAACTGTAACGAAAATCCCATTAATTTCAAATGTAACAAAGCAAATCAAAGAACCCAAAAATTATACATTAAAAAATAACATAGAAATTTGATTAAAAACTAACGTGGGATTTCAGGCTCCGGAGCTCTACTTGAGTGAACTGGTTCTGAAGCCATGGATCCGACACGAACACCCCAACATAACCAGCCATTCTTAGAATCTTTAGCTCTTTCTTTCAAATTGAAACACAGATTATTTGCAGAGAGATTAATCAAATTGTAGAAGCCAAAGAACAAAAAATTCGGTTAGGAGACACTGTGGGACGGGAGGAGAGCTGTCAGCAAGTACAGAGATGAATTTGAACTATGAATTCAAAATATTACTACAATGTCCTTCTTGGGTTAGCAACAAACCAACTTTTTGGATTGAAAATATTTATTGCCAAGAACCCCATGAAAGGGACATTTTTGGTGTTTAAAGATGACTCTCTTAACGGTCACTTTGTTTCTTTTTCTTTCCATGCTAATTACTATCACATGGATGGGGTGAATTGGAGTTCATCACTTCATTGCTCATCTATAAAGTGCACTGAAATTATTAATCCTACTTTTTACTCATTATTTCTCGTGATTTGTAAATTTGTAACGGGTCGAAACCAACGAACAAACATGTTCTTTTTAAACAAATTGTATTAAAAATAGAAATTTCTATCTTTTGATCTGTTGATAATTTATGAAATCGTCCCTTAAAAGTGAATATTAAAATTTATATAAGTGTAAAACGAAGACGATGAACGAAGCTTATTGTGGCACATTCAGGGAAGAACTCCTTGTTGGATCGATGGATATGAACCATACATTTCGCGAGATTCACTAATGGTTCTTTGACATTTTTTTTAAGAACTATTTATAAATTTGACTAAAGGAGGGTCGAACATTTTACAAGCAAGATTTTTTTGTAGCAAGGAAGCATATTCCTTTCAAATATATGGGCATTATAGTCATTTCAAAAAGAGGATCATATTGTCATTTTTCAAATTGTGAGGCCCACCACGAGAAAGATGGGATGCTTTTGAAAAAGTTTGAATTGATAACAGAGCGTCTCTAAGCTTGATGCTAACAGCTACTTGTTTTTGAATTGGAAAGAATTGTAGAAGTGATTTGATATAAATAAATAAACTTTTCCTCTCAAAATTTAGGCTGTGTCTCGTTCTAATTTTTTGCAGATTCAAATTACAAAATTGACCATTGCCTTATCCATGAGGGCCCCACATGAGAGAGAAACAGTCAACTATTACGGTTGGAACTCATGGCAACGGTCAGATAATGGCTAAAATCAGATAAAAAATTAGAAACAGACACAACCTTAATATACTATAAATTAATCAAAACATTTATAGGTCGGATATTCAAATGTTACCATTGTCTATTTAACAGAAGTCCAAAGGTCGTAGGCTTCTAGAGTCTTGACACAAAAACTTCCCCCTTTTCGTGAACAAAATTCAACTGAGTTTACTAGACAAGTTAATAAATTGAGCGTGTTCAGGACGTAAATACAAATAAATAGATCACTTCTGAACGAATATGAATGTCGTATATTAAGTGAGGGAAAAGGGCATAAATCACCATAATTATCATCATACTCTAGAAAACAGGTCTACTATAATTAATTATCATTAAAAAAAAAAGTGATCATTGCGCAAGTGTAATGAATATCACTTATATGTAGATGTGAGGGCATTTATACCAAAATGAGCAGGCTCACGTGGGCAAGACTTTAAGGCTTTGTTTTGTCTGTGTTTTTGAAATGCCTAAATTTGTTTACGAGATTAAGAAATTGATTTTGAACATGTTCGAATAATTTTTTAGAAATGCTATGTCGGATTGGAATAACTTTTAAGGAAAGTTGTTCTATAGTAGCTTTCACGATAAACACTTCTATATAAAACAAAAATTATGTCAAACGAGTCAATTAAGTAGAATACACGAGAAAATGGGGAAAACCTCGGCAGGGCATACTAGGTTGGACTGGGCCAGGTGAAAGATATGGTGTGCCATAGTGTGTTACAAAACTAAATCAGTATATACACATACCAAGTTTATTTCTATAGTTTAAATTGGCATGTGCTTTACTGTTATGGCGATGCAAAGGAAAAGGAAAAGAAAAAGTAAAGACATTATGAAGAAACCCACCTCCAAAGGATATGGTATAAAATAAATGAATGTTTAGCGTATATGTATTTTAGAATATACAAACGGGGAATTGTAACTATACTCATCTGGTGTTCAAGCTGGTGTTCAAATAAACAATCTGACATAATAATCACGTCAGTAATTGAAATTTAATACGTTTTAGAGTATGCAAACATGCTTCATTTATTGAACTTTTAGTCGAGTGATTTAACCACACAACTGTTATTTACAAGAAAAGGGTATATTGCATTCCTTTGCTGCGTTTGCAAGTTGATGTCAACATGAAAATCATTGAAAGTGTCTTGTGAAGTGCAAAATTGTTAGGTGTGGACCAAATCGACGCATGGGTTTCCCACCATGTGATCGTTTGATCTTGAATATGATCATCATTGCTAGTGAATGGACATTTAAAAAGCAATACACAGATCGTATTTGATTTGATTTGCACCATCATTCATATGTAATTTACAGTTCAAAAAATCATCTACTTGTGTACAAGGACTCAATATGTCTTCTACTTTGATACTCGCTTGTCCTTACATAGCGTGCATGTTTAATACACAATGAAGAAACTAAAATGTTGTTCATAATACCATCCTGTAATGCATATCAAACATGCTCATGAGTATGTGATGTCTCTAATGTAATACTTGATATACAGTATTAGAAAGAATTCGTCGATACAATGTACAAGATTCAAAATTTTTCTTGATAATATCAAATACTATACAATCCACTTCATGAGTTTAGTAAGAAACCCATTTTCCATTCTATCTTTAGTGGGAAATCTGCAGATATTTTGAGACACTTTAGGACAAATTTGGTACAGAGAACTGGGCAACATTGTAAGAAACCATTGACAAGATTTTAACTTCATTTACTAATCTAGTAACTATTGAACATGTCTTTAAAGCATCGTTTAGTCACTACAAAATCGAATTGCTATTCATAGTGCTGTATTCTTACACGGTATTTTTTACCAAATGACAAAGACAAGCTTAGCAATTTAATGGCAGATGGGAAAAACGTGTAACTATGCATTATGCAAAATAACACAACACATGATTACAACTAGAACTGTTCTTTTTGGAAAAAATGTATAGGCAGTTTCACATAAAGATACTGATGCACTGTTTAGCACTTCGAAACCATAATATGTGTAAGGGGAACTTGGAATCACCAAAATCCATGGCAAATTGAACAAACATTGATACTCCATCGTCACTCAATCTTTGTTTAGATTTCAAAGGCTTCTAAACAGATAATAGGGAACTGTTTTCGATTTTAAGAATCCTGTTTTGTTTCTGATCTCCTTTACTTACCAAGGCTATGGAACAAAGGATCATCATAGACCTACACCGAGGTATTGCCGGTGATTTTCAAATCTCGCGGAACAAAATGTGATACAATGAGATAGAAACAAATGAACATTATTCACGCATTGATCAAGAAAAATAAAAGCAACTCAAACTAACATCAATAATTTGTCCAAGTCCGGGACCTACAGGTGCTTCTGTATTATTTTTACCTTCTGAAATCTGTAAGCAAGGTCATTTTGTCATTCATCCGCAATTTGACACAATGAAACATATCACTAGAAAGGTCCTTAGGTAAATAATTTGAAGTAACTTTATACGTGCACTTTCTTAATTTTATAAATTATGACGACCTTACAACCAGAAAAGCATTTGAAATGTTACACACTATTGATTTACAGAATATCCAAAACATTGACACTCAACTTACAAAAATGGTCAGACACACTTGCCCCGTGAGAACTAGAATGCAATTTCTTCAAGAATTTGAAGTGTATTCTGATGAACCTGTAACACAAAATCAAGGATTCATATGCTTTAGCATCTGACATGTATAATGATGTAGGACATCCCACCATACAAGCACCCATGTAACAATTAGGGATGAAAGCAATGACAGCAAGCTCATAGATTTAAGGAAATTTAAGAAATGCAGAATAATCTCTGAAACGAAAAAAGGTGTGATATTTCGATAACACTTGTTACGAACTGATGTGGAAACAGTCCATTGCTTTGTTTAGATTGAAATTTGGTTCGTAAAATTTGAGAAGTCACTGGTTTTAAATTAAATTTGGTTTAAGTTTCTGGCAAAATTTTTTAGCTACTAAAAGGAATGCATGTAATACAAGAATAATAGGAGAGAGATCACAGACAGCCAGCAAATATCCTAATTAACGTCTGAAATCTTTATTAGTTATTTTCATTTTTTATATTAGTATATTTTCAGGGAATTTGGGGGTATAGAAAAAGACAGCTAGTTACCCATTCTAGATGCTGTGCGGTAATTCCAGAAACGTTTCCTGCATATATGCCGCCTAATACCTAATAAGTCCAACCAAAGCATAGATTAGAGTAAATGAAATGAAATTCAAGCTAATCGTCCGAGTCAAACACAGACAAACAAAAATTTGATGTTGCAATATCCTCCTTGGACTCACTACACGTGTCTGTAAATGTTCATAGAACCTATATACTAAATTTACTGAACAAAAATATACAATATTTCTGTTAAAATTAATTTTGTAAGAGATTTTTGAATAGAAAGAAACTGAAGCCTAGTCAACCATACTTGTATCATGATCATATAAGCAAAATAGTGGTACCTTGGAAACAGTCTCAAGAAACATGCCAGGGCGCACAGGTATTGCTTTACGACCAGTAACACTTGCCTGAATATCAGTATAAGATGGTTGAATACATGCATCACCTAACTCATGACTATACATCTAGATTAATAAATATGACTATCTATCATTGTGGCAGAACATTTCTACCTTTCCTGCAATTCCACTTGTTTTTTCACCTATGATACTTTCATCACCTTCAGAACTTTCAGCACCTTCATCTTTTCCTTGCATTACACTTTTTATCATCTCACGTACAGTTCTCCCTGGTCTTAGAGCGACAAGTTTAGTTAAAAAGTTTACCTGCCGAACGTAATGAAGTTAATATTCATCTTCACTATAATACTAGAATAATCAAGCAATTGACGATTTCAAAAAATAGCAATGTATTCAGTGGAACATTTCCTTGAAAAATTGATCATCTAATGATAACCAGAAATTACAGACCTCTGATTCAGGAAGAATATTCAGACCCCGATCATTTCTTTCATCTAGTATTCCACCTCCCATCATATTCCTGGCTTCTTCTCTGATCAACACCAGCCTTGCAAGCAGCTTCCGATCAGGAACAACAGGACGGGATTCCATTGTCTACACAAAAAATGATTGCATGGAACTATAGAGGGCAAGTTGGTATAAACTGAAGGTATTTTAATCAAGAATACTAACTTTAATAGTACCCATAATCAAACAGCATACAAGGGATCATGGAAAGAAAGATGGGATGAATAAAAGTGCACTGAGATAAAATGCAAAGTCCATCTTGACTTCAGAAGATAAATGTGAATACAGATGTCACAAGAAATGATATCATATTTTGAACAGGAAGGTTGTGCATATTGTGCCAAAAACAAATATAACGCGACCTCTCTCTAAACACGAGATGTAATAGAAGATGCATCCACAAAAAGTCCAACTGCATGCTAGGTAAATAATGCTTAACGTCATGTAAAGATTGTATCAACCAATTAATGTCCTCCCTTCATCAAAGAAGATCAAATAATTGCAGGCAATTGTTAAGATTCTAGAGGAACAACTGTCACAATAGCATGGTAATATCTGGATGAAATCTGATATAATTATGCATTGAAATTTAAGTTGATTTCTATAGGCACAACTGTCCATAATGGTAATCCAGGGAGCAAATTTCTATCTGACATCATCATGAATTGGACTGTGCATTGCTTTGTCATAATCGAACTAATTTGGTCTATTCTAATCAAAACCTGGAAACTGGCAGTAGGAAATATGTGACATGACTATATTTTATAGACAGTTGAGAGAGATAAAAGCAAAGCATGCATCTTTGAATAGCTACCTCTAGAAGATCATCAGCCTGGTTAGCTATATCATTCAAATTGGCCCCTGGAAGGTGAACTTTTGTATTATTCTCGCTTTGAAATACACCGCCACCACCTGCTACTCGCCGAAGTAATTCATGTCTGCTTTCTTTTTGGGGAGTTCTGCAGAGAAGGCCAATCACTTGAACCTAAAGAAGGATGTGACAGAAAGGTTCTCCATTAGCCTGAGTTTAAGATGATATTATATAATGGAGCCAAATAGTGGTTGAGTTCACAAGGACTCTCACGTGAGGGGGACATTCTTTGGTGAGATGGGATAACACAGTCTCCTTAATCATCTCCAAGAGAGACTTCCTCTGAAAAGAAACAATTGAAAAATAAATGAATTTCACCCATACTAATGTTTCCATAAAGCAATAATCTTTTAAAAAAAGGCCAAACATTCCTAAACAAAATTATAAGAATGAGGATGTTGCACTACATGATGCACAGATCACCATATAAACTTAGATGAGAAAAATGGTGTCACGTCTATCTAAATAACAAATGGATTTGCTATTCTAAAACACAATAAACGAGCATTATTGTGGCCACTAACACCAGAATCCAGAGCCAAGTAACTTTACATCAGAAGTTCATGCCAATAGAATGAACATCTTCAGCCTTTAGACTCAATCGACGTTGTCAATGCATTTTCAGTTGTTACATGCCTTTCATGATAAGGTAAGAGTACTAGCTGGTTATACAACATAAATCAGAAGGATTTATAAGCACGCCATAAATTTTATGCCGGAGCTACTCATGATTACTCACAATGAAAAGGCCTCTTTCAAGAACCTAATACCTATAGAAGGCAAAAAGAAAACAGCTCTAATCTCATTCTTATGTCTGATTAAAGTGATATGTTGTTATAAATCCTGCGAGGACTCTGTAGAAACCAGTGTACGCAATGCAAACTGTTAACTTTTTCACCAATGCAAAAGTGAAAAGTTGTTGAACTTTGAATGAAACCATAAACACGACCTTAAAAATTAAATGTCCATATAAATCATTACCTTATCATCCTGGTCCTTTTCAGCAATTTGAATCATGTAATCGAGAGCCATCATAAACCCTGATTCCATCTGATCAACTCTCTTCCCAATCACTCCCTGTGCAGCCAAATGTACTGCCACCTCTTCAGATGCTTCATCCATGTTCATATCTTCTAACTGTTACATAAATAGATTAAACAGATAATTGTAGTACCATTTTTTTGAACAGTGCATAAGAAGCAAGACATTACGAAGTGGCTTTCTAATGATGAGCTTCTATAGAACACCTTGAAAAATGATTCTAAAAATCTGAAACCCTCAGATAGAGATATTTTATGACCCAAGTTATTTAAAGAGTTCATTACTTGATTGTGTCTAAACTCCAAACATCGCAGTAAGTAAAATTCTTAAGTTCCACATATCCAGTAGGATTTCTGGAGAGCTTTAGACAGAAGTTTTAGGTACGGGGTTTACTTTCTATTTATGCAAGTCTCCATTACAACCTCCAATTCTTTTAAACCTGCAGTCTTCACAAATATAAGATAAATAGCTAGCATAAAACAACTGCTTTGTGTACTGTCTCAAAAGAGAATCAGTATATATACACTGCAGAATTAAGTTCCAACACCAATAGAATGAGTCTAAAAGTAAAATATTACAGTTAAAACTTTTAACATCAAATGCAAGAAATGGCATTAAATTGAAATCTTATGCCCAGTCCTTGAAAGTTGAAACCCTTTTACCCTTAATTCCTTACTGAAGCAATCCCATTCTTCCAAAGCATCAATGGGCATTATGACTTTATGGTTTAAGCTTTTGCCACAGAACTTGACAAGCTTAAAATAATTTGTCTAAATTTCAAAGAAACTGGAGCCAAATATTCCCATAAGCAAGCAAATGGGACTTACGAGTTTGACCATTTCTTCAAGAACAGACGTGACCTGTTCACCACCTCTGAGCAGAGCTTCGTAGTGGGCAGCGTCCAATTTCGGGTTTTCTTGTTCTCCTTTCCTATTAGTGGTTCCACCGTCTTGTGCAAAGAATTGGTCCATGGGTAAGCCCCGAGACGCGGCTTCATAAGTGCCGCACAAGGCCAATAAGCTGGTCCTCTTTGAGATGGGTTTTAGCGGCAAGTGGTGAGGGTTTTTGAAAAAAATAGATGGAATTGAATTTGAACGAGTAGTAGTAGTAGAAAAAGTAAAGGTCGGAACAGAGGGAGAGGCCATGGAAGAAAAGAGAGAGAGACACTGGTTTACTATCAAAGAAGGGAAGTTATCAAATAATATCCTAATGCCAGAAGGGAGAGAACAGGGGAAAACAAAAAATTTGAAGACGCCGTCTGTGGGAATCGAACCCACGACCACATGGTTAAAAGCCATGCGCTCTACCGGCTGAGCTAAGACGGCTTGTTGGGTAGAAGTGCAAATTTAGCTTTACTCGGTATTGTGGCTTAAGAATTAAGCTATTTGTAACAACTTCACTTACACTTTGATCCTGATAACAATGAAGTGCTATAATAATTGAATTAAATGTGTGAGACATGAAAGATGATATAAGATTGTATCAAGTGTGAATTCGATAAATTAGAGTGTAAATCAAGGTATACATGTGGTAAGATTGTGACTTAATCCATGCTTTCTGACATGTCGGTAAATTATCAAACGTTGATATACCTTCTTTTTCTCGAAGTTTCTACGACGTGCAAATTGTCCAAAAAACACCCTTATACATAATTCCAAATTTATATTTCCTTTAGCCCTATTTGAGACCTTTTTAAGGGGAAATACATTTTGAAATAGTAATTTTTTGAAAAATATATGGTTGAAAATAAATTTTGAAAAAATAAGGATGCATTTGGTTTATTATTTTCAAGCTATTTTCAGTTATTAATTTTTCAAAACATTGAAAATGTATTTTGAAATACAAGGATAAGCTCATAATATAAAACTCAAGGAGTCAAAAGCATTTTTGACATTTTGAGTGTTTCAAGTAAAAAGTTTGAAAACGCTCAAAACATGAAAAACGAACATTTAAATAAAATTTTGTTTAAACGGAGTTTTAAAAATTAAAATATAAAATTATAACAAATAAATTTTTAAAATTTTAAAATAATGAAAATCAAGAAAAATAAAAATAAAAATTATTAAAAAATTGAAAAAAATAAAAATAGCTCAAACTCTTAATAATTATTTTACGTGAATACGGATAAAAATATTCTCAATCCACGTCATTAATATTTATTTTTACTTTTATTTTATATATTAGGAAGAAAAAATATTATAAGATTTACCAACTCTAGAATATAAATATTACATGATAATATATTAATAGAATATTTTATTTTTTTTACTGAACAATCAAATTTCATTGAATAGAATGTCATGTAACAATTTTTCAAGTTTTCAAATCAAATGTGTATTTTATTTTTTTGTTTTGAGAAAAAAATTTTCAAAATGACAAATCTAACGTATTTTTAAAAATTTTAAAATAGATCCTCAAAACTTAAACACAAACAAAATGGACCCTAAGTTTTAGGAAAATTTGGGGTCAAATAGGGGGTTAGTCTTTATTGGGTTAATTCCATAAATAGTCAACAAACTTTTCTTTTAGGGCTTGTCTGGAAGAACTAAAAATTGAAATTTAAACCGTTAACTATTCAAACCTGGGCCCCCCTTGTCTCACAGCTGGTCAAAAAGGGCTGCTTCTTTTCCTGTTAACGGTACAAAAATCAATTCTTTTGGATGGAAAACGTTTTACTTAAAAATTGTCTATGTTGGTCACTTAGCTTTGAAAATTGATATCCTGACCATCACTGCGCAAAAGACTCTTTCAAAATTGGGAGGATTTTATTACATTTTTAACAGTATGACTTACGTGGCACGTCATTGTAATAAAAAAAATATCAAATCACGAATATGTATCCTAAGTGGACAAGTGAGTTGACCATAAAAAGATGGCATATCACAAAGGTCTTTTTTTTTTTTTGGTTAAAAACGTTTTTGGGTAATAGCAACTTGTCCACTTAGAATGCACCTTTATGAATTTTTATCTTTTTATTACAATGACGTGCTAAGTAGGTCATACCGTTAGACACGTCATCAAATTCTTCTAAGTTTGCAAGCTTCATTTACACAGTGATGGATATAGTGCTACTTTTTAAAGTTACGTGATTAGCGGGAACAATTTTTAAGTTCAGTGATCCTTTGGAACTTTACGAAAAATTTAGTGACTATCATGGGAACTAACCCATCTTTATTTGCTCTTTCTTTCTTTTTCTTTTTCTTTTTAATTTTAAAAATATACAAAAATATCCAATATTGCTTTCCATAAATAGGATTGCACAACCATATAGATTGTTGTTTTTCCCATCTGCATTTACACATAGTATAGCCTCCGGTTTGGGATGTCATAAATATATTTTTCAAAACTCATTTTCAACCATATAATATTTCATAAAATAATGCTACACATAAACTCAATTTTTTTCTTATTTTTTAACAATACATTTTTCGAAAAATCATTATTCTAAAATACATTTGTCCCTTAAAATCTCATTTTAATGGATCTCAAACAATGGCATATTCACTTTTTAATCAATTTTTGGGTTGCTTTCTCGTCTTATGAAGCAACTAATCCAATTAGATTTTAAAAGGGGAACAATACATATCTAAGGTAGTTACTATATACAATTTCGATTTTAAGAAACTAGTTTTAAACATTCAAAAGTCAGATTATGTGTGTATGTATGTTAGGTTCTAGTAAATATGTAAATATACTATTTCCTAAAATTAAGCATTTAGTTACAACCTTGTTGTGTGTGTGTGTGCGCGAGTGCGCGTTAGGTTTATTTTCTATAATCGAATAAATTCCAATTCGGGCATGATGGAAGCTTGTTGGAGAAAATTTGGAGTCAATTGATGGTTGAAATACATGTATAAAAATGGGTAGTTAAGGGATTTCATTTTGGACTAGTGTTGGTAACATAATTTACGTATATATGACCTCGCTGGTTCATAGTCGTGACATGTTTCACATGAAATATGAGATATGTGAACGTGTCTTGGCACTAGTTATCAAGGTAGAATGTTTGATGTGATACGTACAATTATAACTCCAAAATGTACCTTACATCGATGCACAATGAGAGTCGTCACTTGTTAACATTGAAACTTGTGACTAATGTACATTGAATTGTAACCAGTGCACATAAATCAAAATGAGAAATGTGAACAAAAAATAGTGACCTATGACCATTACACATTAATTAGTGACCCGTGATTAGTGCAAATTGATCTGTGACGTAATTTAAAATGTGAACATAAACCAGTGAACTATGACCCGTGCACATTGATCTGTTACATTAAAATCGGAATGCAAAATGTGACATGTGACATTTTTAGAAATCTTAAAATAAATCCTCAGAAAACTCAAAATGAACTCAAATTTTTTTTTTTTCAATTTTAAAATATACAAAATTATCCAATATTGCTTCCGATAAATAGGATTGCACAACATTATAAATATATTATGACATATTCAGTTTGTATTCAAATTTTAGGCTAATTCTTCGTCTTACAGAGCAACTAATCCAACTAGACTTTAAAAAAGAATTTGAACAAGTTTGGGTAAATTTCTTAAAATGTTTTATTTAAGTTAAAAGAATTTTTAAAGAAAACATGCTCGGCAAGTTTTCCACTGCAACATCAATTGTCGTCTTGGTGGGGACGTAAATGTCATTAATGACTTGTAAATTCAAATTTCATCCACGCAGCACTTTTACACCGTTGGATGTGAAAAGTGAAAAGCCTCTCAATAGATTTGGCCGTTAGCGTGAGATAGCGGCATTCTTGTAAATAAAAACAAAATGGAGGTCAACTATGGAATGGTGAAATTGTAAATAAGAACGAAAAGTAAGGGGTAAAGTGGGAAATAGAATTAATTGAACCTCTAACAAATCCTTGTATACACATAGACAGTTACGTGTCCTCGCTTCCTATAAGTATACCCTCAGACACGGGCTTTCCGTTCATTTAGCCCTTTCATTTTCTTCGCACACACTGCATTCTTTCTCTCTCCTAGGTTTACACACTCTTTCTCGATGGCGGAGGTACAGAACGGAAGTGAAGCTGAGAAGGTCCCTGCTGTGGCTTTCACGGCACTGAAGCCATGGCTGGTGGTGGATGCGCCGAAAGCCAGCGACGCCGTGCAGTTTTACAAGACTGCCTTTGGAGCCGAGGAGCTGAGCCGCGTTATGCACCCCAAGAGGAAGGCTGATCACGAGATTCCACTTGTTCTCTCTGCTGAACTCAAGATTGGCTCCGCCACTATTGTTGTATCTGATACCATTGACGACTCATTTGCTACGTACGTTTTTTTGCCTTTTCTATTTTCTTCATTCACTTTTTTTGCATGCGTTTGGAGGTTTTTCCTCTGTTTCATCGCTTTATGTTAGATCCACGGTTTGATGGTTTAAAATGTACGTTCATCGTGTTTTGCTTCCCCTCTGTTACCGCTTAATCGCTCATGCTATAATAAATATACTTATATGTGACTTGACTGAGTAATTAATGCATTCTGTTGCTTCGTTTTCGTTGTTTAGTGTCAAGTCTGCAGTAACCGGAGGTGTGATCTGCCTTGAGACTGAGGACGTGGAAGCTGCCTTGGTCCAGGCTGTGAACGCTGGCGCCACTACGGAAGGAGAGATCTCCGAGGGTGATGACTCGTGCTGCGGCGGGCGCGTGGGCAAGGTGAAGGACCCCTATGGCAATATCTGGCTTATCTGCTCTTCCTCGAAGAAATGCGCTGACGTGGAAGCTTAAGCACCCCCTGATCTGCTGTCAATCAATTAACTTGCTTTGCTTTTTGAAGTCCTGTTTGTTACTATTTTGTCTCTAGTCAAACTCGATTTTCGCTGACGTGGAAGCTTAAGAACCCTCTGATCTGATGTCAATCAATTAACTTGCTTTGCTTTTTGAAGTCCTGTTTGTTACTATTTTGTCTCTAGTCAAACTCGATTTAACTTTTGGAACAATTAATAGGAGCAGTAACTAAAGTAGTCTGATGGAGATTAAGTTGCTATAATCATGTATTGGGGAAGGATTTCTGAAGATTAACATGGATTATGTAACCTTTAATCTGACAGCTGGCAGTTATTTGCTTATTACTTGCCTTTTTTTTTTTTCTTCATGTTACAATTAATATGCATTTAGGGTGGTCTCACTTCCATGGATAGAAGTGGTTTTCTCGTGAATAGTGTGTTTTCTTTGGGGAAAAACAAAACTGCAAAAGTGGTTACTTTCTCCAATGGTATTGCAGTTTGGATAAAGTGGAAATAGTCGTGAAATCCTCAAAACACGATAATAATAAGTAATTTATCAAGTTATAATATAAATAATCGAGATTCTCATGTTTACGGGGTCTGAGAGCAGGAGAAAAGTGGAAAGCGATGTTAGCTGGTCAAACGTGGTCCTCGAGGCATGATCTGGTAATTTGATTTTTATTAAATTTTGATAAAATTGATAAAATGTGTGATTGAAAAGTCGCGAGATTTTTAAAATATGGGCATTTTAGGTACAAGCTCAAAAAAATTGGTTGAAAAAAGTTGTAAAATTAATCTAGTCAGCGCATCTTACAAAACTTAAATACGAAGAATTCCTATAATTCTCAAAAAGAAAACTAGGTTGCAACATCCTACTATTTTAACATGCTTAAATTATTTCATGAATTAAATTTATTTTCGTGAATATATTGACTTTTTAGTCAAATTAGATATTAAACCTCATTTAAGATTTTAAGTAATTGAGTGTTCATCTACACTAGAGGAATGATCTAAACTTTCAACACAATTCATACCCTAACATTTTTTGACCTCCTACACGACAATCCTAGCTCCATAACTACAATCCACCAAAGAAAGTAGGAAAGAAATACACTGTCAAAATTTCGTTCTTATCACTTGAACACTTGCTAGAGAAAGTTGATTTTAGTGCTTTTGGAAGAAACGTGGAGTTTTCGCATTATCCATCTTGTTATTCATCAAATTTCATCTTACGATCCACGAGGTAGATACATCCGTGCAAATGGTTTTATTTCTTGTTCCAATCCTTCATGATAATTAGCATATCGTTAGATTGTGACCTTGAAGTTAGGCGAAAATTTTGTTGGAAAATTGGTTTTAATTAGTTGGTTTGATTAATTATTTTAGTGGGTCTTGTTAGTCTGGCAAAAGATTTCTTTGGGAGAGTGTATTCTACTCCATGAGTAGATTAATATAATGTATTTATTTTCTCAAAATCAATTTAGGGTTAATGAGAATTTGAGGCCAAAAAAGATGACTATTTGAAATTGAAATAAATTGAAAATAAAAATTGGTGTGAAATTGAAAAATAACAATCCCACGTAGGCGTTAGATTGTGACCTTTGAATTTAGGCGAGAATTCGTAAGAATGAACGATGCACACAATGCATACATGTGACAAAAATCAAGCGTGAAACTGAATTTATCATACATAATATTACAGCAGGCAAAGGGAAATATGATCGTCATCTTGTTTCGACTTAAGCACAGATATGCACAAACAAGATGTGACTTAAGGACCTTAGCATTCAGCAGGAGTGGTGAGATTGCACTTGACAGGGAGTCCCAATGCAAGATCAGGATCAATCCCAAGAGCAGGCAAAACAATTGAGTTCCTATAAGAACACAAGCATTTCAAGTCTGCATTTGAGAGAGCACCACAACATTCAGACGACGGCTCCACAGGGTTCGGTTGCGTAACTGAAGGCCGGCATGCTTCTAAACCGTCCTCCGTCATATTACAAAAGCTCGCCGCCTTTGCTCCATCAAGAACCACCAGTATCACCATCGTCGTCACCACCGCCACCAATTTTCTACCATTCTCCATTTTTTTTTGATTGCTTGAGGCTCTATTCTTACAATAATTCTTTGGTTCTTATAAATGTGGTAAATTTGTAAGCCCGTGATTGGGAATTTGGCGGGTTATGGATCACGGGTGATGCTAGGCCATTTGTGGGCGATTGATTTTACTTTATGTTCATGATTTGTGGCCTAGAACTGCCTTACATCAACAATGGATATGGATAGATAATTTTTCTTGTCTTCTTATGTTTGAAATCTCCACGTGAAGATGATCCATCCTTCCATTTTTATTACATTACAATTGCGCGAGATTGTGCAGGGAATGCACTTGGATATATGTACGGAAATATTCACGAGGAGTGAGATTTTTTTAACGCCGGGTTTAGATTTATATAATTTACTCTTCAAGACACTAAAGATGAATATGAAGAGCCAACGAAATTTATGACTAGTTGCGTGATTATACGAAGTACGACGAAGCCACACAAAAATTAGTATTTTCTTCTTTTTCTATATTAGATAATAGTTTCTTGAAAGGAAAATGTCACTTGTACATTGTACTGTTGACATTCCAAGTGTTGATAGGGTAAAAGACTGTCCAAGATTTAAACTGTCTAATAATGTACTGTCACGTGGTAAAGTATAAGAAATGATGTAAAGGATGATATACATATAATATGATTGTTTTTTAAATGATTAACATGTTACCGAAATAGGCAATGACTAAGTTCACAATTTTATAAAAATAAAAATAGAGAGGGAAACTTATAAATTTAAATTTAAGGAGTTTACTCCATAAATATCTACTTCAATAATTGGGCTTTAGAAGGATCCAGTGATGTCTCGTTCCAACCCAAGTAATGATTTGGGTTCAAAATCGATCAATGATGACCCAAACAAATATATGAACCTGGACTAAACCTGCAAACCATTGACATTGAGTCCAACTAATACTAGTACAGGACAACTAAGGCTCTCTTTGTCAAACATTAACCCTCTGTTTGGTAGCCATTAAAAATAATTTTTAGGAAAAACGCGAGTTTGGGAATATTGATTTTTTGAAGAATATATAGTTGAAAAGTAGAAAATTTTTTTGAGTTTACGTATAAAATATTTTATTTTTTAAAATATATGATTAAAAATAAATTTGTAAAAGAGAAGTTTAAAAAAAATTGATGACAAACAGGGGCTAAGTGCCCATTTGACACAATTTTTATTTTTGTACATGTTCTTTTAAAAGAGTTTCATGAAAAATTTAAGAGTACAATTTTCTTTTTTTAAAATTTTATCCTAAATTCTATTTTCTTTAGTTCGCTTCAATCATCAAATCCTCTCAATAAATTGGTATCAAATGTTACTTTTCAATAAAAACTACATAAAAACACGCACTAAATTTGTTTTTACGAGTGAGGGAAATAGAATCTAGCAGAAACATATTTGAACATAAGTTGGCACTAAACAATATCCATTGAAGTACTTGAATTTGAAATAAAAAATCTCCACAATATCATTACATCTTGAAGAACAGAGACTTGTGAACATCCATCTAAAGCCTACATCTCTTTCAACAACATGTAAGTAATTCTGTAAGATGCATAAGCATTAACACAAGCACACTCAACCATATCCTCGTCAAGAACCCTAAATTCCCAATCAGAATTCCAAATTTTCTTTCTTCTCATTCCCGACCCTACAAAATTATCTAACCAAATAAAGCACTTTCTAAATTTTATTCAAACAAATTCAAAAATAATTTTTGAATCTCATAAACAGTTTTTGACTTTTGAAAAACTATACGAGATGAGCTGTAAAAATTACTAAGAAGTTACTGTTTTTATTTAATCAAATTTAAACATTATTTCTAATCATACATTCACAACTACCGTATATTATTAATCGCACATTTTCTAAAATCCATTACTATTTCTTTAAAAAAAATCACTAATAATTGTACACGAAATTTTTTTTTTTTTTTAAACGAAGTCAATACTATTATATGTTGGGAATTTACTTAATC